CCAAGATTTTGAGGTTGCTTTGAGCTATGATGCCACAGCACTCTACCAAGGGTAACAAAGTAAGACTATGCCTCAGGAAAAAAAAAAAGAAAGAAAAAGAGGACTTGGTTCTGAAATATTCTGTGGTCATAAAATTATAAAAGCACTAGGTAAGATGCATGGGAAAGAAAGTCAAAATGTTAAAATATAATTCTCATTCAAAATGAGCCTGCAAACTAAATTTCCCAAAACATGGAAAAAAAATAGTCCTAAGAGAGACAAATATCCAAACCAACAATCACAATATGACATCATAAAATGTAAAGAATATCTGAAAGAATTAAAAATGTTTAAACTGAAAAAAAAAAGGCTAAGGTGTGAGAGAGTTCTCAAATGCAGGCAGTCCCTGAGTTACAACCATCCAACTAATGTATGACTTATACTTACAAATGAAGGCCATTACAGGTAATAAGAGATTAATAAAACTGTTCCAACTTACACACAAATTAAATTTAGTAACGGATCTACAGAAACTATCTCATTTGTAACCCAGGTGCTGCCTGTATTTAGAAGATTATGGTAGAAGAAGATTTAAACTTAAATTTTAGGTGACTCTACAACAGCCAATGTGGGTCTCCCAAAAAGAAGGCTTTGCTAATAATTATTTTTTCCTTCAATTTTTTTTTTTTTTTTAGACAAAACCTCATTTTGTCACCCTTGGTAGAGTGCCGTGGCGTCCTAGCTCACAGCAACCTCAAACTCTTAGGCTCAAATGATTCCCTTACCTCAGTCGCCCAAGTAGCTGGCACTATAGGGGCCCACCCCAATGCCCCACTATTTTCAGAGGCAGGGTCTCACTCTGGTTCAGGCTGGACTCAAACCTGTGAGCTCAGGCAATCCACCCACCTCAGTCTCTCAGAGTACTAAGATTAAAAGTGTGAGCCACCAAGCTCAGCCTGCCAATAATTATTAATACATATACTTCTGTGAAAATTAAATACACTATCAGTGAAGTGTTAGACCCCAGAAGCATGTGAAAAAGACAATTTTATAAAGATGATAGAGGACAGTCACATATTGGGTAGCTTTAACTATTATAAAAGCTCAAAATACCCAAATCAGATCTTAATTAAGTTCAATTCTTCTCAGATCAATTTTGAGAAATGTTTCATATCAGAAGAGTGAGTTTTGTTAAAATTTTGACAGAGAATCTGATGAAAACTTTTAAGTACAGCTAATAACTATCCTACAGTATGCTCGACAGATCAAGCTAGTCCCTACTTTCAAAAAAGAAGTTGAGCTACATAGAGGTATGACTCAAAATAATGTTCATTTGTATTTTCTTAAGAAGGAATAAAGTATTAATAATTGCATCTAACCAAAAATTTGATCTAAAAATTTTAAATATAACCAAAGACTTCTGGTGGGAGAAAAAGAAAACTAATGGAGATATCAACATATGCTTGCCTTTCTCAAAAATTTCCCAAAATCCTACATGTAGAATTAAGCAGTACTTAAGGCATTTCAGAGCCTCGAAAGTTTTGTTTTGTTTCTTAGTGAGGTTTTTTGAGACAGAGTCTCACATTGGAGGGATCTCTTCTGAGGTTTATCTTACAGGGGTACAAGTGAATCTTTCTAAGAGTAGAATGTAATGTTTTAAAACAATAACTGAGAAAATGACATGAAGGCTGTGTTGACCAGTTTGATGGAAGTATTTTGGATTGCATATGAAAACCCCACACTGTACCCTAGAAGTGCATTAATGTACATAGTTACCATTCAATAAAAAAAGAAAAAAAGACCGAGACAGAGTCTCACTCTGTTGTCCAGCGGGGAGTGCAGTGGCATTATCATAGGTCACAACAACCTCAAACTCCTGGGCTTAAGTGATCTTCCCAGCTTAGCCTCCCAAGTAACCTAAGACTACAGTCATGTGCCACCATGTCTGGCTAATTTGTTTTTTACTGTTTGTAGAGATAGGAATCTCACTAGGTTGCCCAGGCTGGTCTTAAAACTCCTGGCTTCAAGTAAGGCCCCTGCCTCTGCCTACTGAAGTGCTGGGATTACAGGCATGATTCACCACACTCAGCCTGTAGTTGTGTTTTATAGGCCAAAAAGCTATATTCAGCAGTCCAAGTTAGCTCTGCTCTCAGACCTAGACATATTGCCCAATTAAGCTTAAAAATCAAGTCAAATACAGTTTTGTTTTGTTTTGTTTTTGAGGCAGAGTCTCACTATGTCGCCTTTGGAAGAGTGCTGAGGCATCATAGCTCATGGCAACTTCAAACTCCTGGGCCAAGCAATTCTCCTGCCTCAGCCTCCCAAGTAGCTGGGACTACAGGCACCCATCACAACGACCAGCCATTTTTTGGTTGTAGTTGTCATTGTGGGGGCCTGAGCTGGGTTCGAACCCGCCAGCTCTGGCATATGTGGCTGGTGCTCTAGCTGCTGAGCTACAGGTGCCGAGTCAAATACAGTCTTAAAAAAAAAAAAAGAAAAAATTCAGAACCCAAAGGGTTCAAACCTTAAGAAGCTCACAGTCAAAAGCTCCAAATAACCAGCTACCCAAAGCTCATTAGTTGTGGAGATTGGCAACATTACTACAGAGGACAAAAAGTCAAAGAGATAACACCAGAGATACACATTAATAGACTGAAAACCCAAACTAAAAACATCAGTTGTTTCTTTAGCATTAGTACACTAAAAATATAATCGGTTAGTTTGTTTCTTTAAATATACAAAGGAATCTATATCGTCAGTTTTCTTCTAAGCAATTATGTTACCAATAGCACAGAGAAATGCTTCTATATACTCAACAAAATCACCAAATCGCTACTTTTATCGGGATCTCAGATAAGATTGACAATATCAATGCCAACTTACAATCTTTGACTTGAAGACATCCAGCAGACCTGACAAATGAGTGTATTGATTTGGTACTTTTCGAAGATGAACCATTTCAAAATCAGTTCGGACACCAGGACCTTGACATTCTCCTACATACATTCTTCGCCATTTGTGATGAATCTGCACGAAGAGTGGCACCTGACTGCAGGACATGATTAAACAGTAATAGAATGTAAGCTTAATAAACATTAAATAACTCTTAAGCCTTACAATTTCCTCATGTGAAATTATTTTAATATCAAATATTTAAAAGCACTGAACAAGACACACTCCAAAAACACAGGTTTATGACAAAGATATTCTTAGCTCCTTTTTTCCTTATGGTGTTAAATTCAAGAAATTATCACCTAGTAGCACTATAATTAGTCAAGAAATTGTTCTAAAATGGCTAAAAGTCAGGGCCAAGTGCTATGGCTCATGCCTATAATCCTAGTACTCTGGGAACCTGAGGCTGGTGGATTGTCTGAGCTCAGGAGTTTGATACCAGCCTGATACAAGAGTGAGATACATGGCTACTAGAGTAGAAAAAACGAGTCAGCATGTGGCAGGTGCCTGTAGTCCTAGGTACTTGGGACGCTGAGGCAAGAGGACTGCTTAAGCCCAAGAGTTTGAGGTTGCTGTGAGCTATGATGCTTCAGGCACTCTACCAAGGGCAACAGAGTGAGACTGTCTCAAAAGTAAACAAATAAATAAATAATATATAAAACTTGATTTTGTAACAGAAATAGATTTTGAAAGCAAACCGCAAAAGGATAATATGGTTTATTCTTCATTTCAAATATACATTTACTATTTCAATAATATTCACTTTAGAAATAGCCTCCATGGCTCGGCGCCTATAGCTCAACCGGCTAAGGCGCCAGCCACGTACACCTAAGGTGGCGGGTTTGAATCCCCAGCCCAGACCCGCCAAAACAACAATGACGGCTGCAACCAAAAAATAGCCGGGCGTTGTGGCGGGCGCCTGTGGTCCCAGCTACTTGGGAGGCGGAGGCAGGAGACTCGCTTGAGCCCAGGAGTTGGAGGTTGCTGTGAGCTGTAATGCCATAGCACTCTACCCAGGGGGACAGCTTGAGGCTCTGTCTCAAAAAAAAAAAAAAAAAAAAAAAAAAGAAATAGCCTCCATATAGATTTTGCTAGTTTTGTCCTTATATATCAAATTCCAGTATAATAATATGCAAGCATACTGTTAAAAGAAAAATTTCAGACTACCCATTGTGGCTCACAACTGTAATCCTAGCATTGTGGGAGGCCTGAAGCCAGGGGTTTGAGCTTAGGGAACACAGTGAGACCCCATCTCTAACAACAACAACAAAAAGCAATAAAAAAATTAGTCAGATGTGCTGGTACCTGCCTATAGTCCCAGATACTGGGGAGGCTGAGGCAGGAAGATTATTTGATCACCTGAGCCCAGAAAGTCAAAGCTATAGTGAGTTACATTATTGCTACTGCACTCTAGTCTAGGCAACAGAATAAGACTCTGTCTCCAAAAAAAAGGAAAAGAAAGAAAATTTTTTCAACAAATTAAATTTAACATAATGTATTTGAGTAAAGAATGAATTGAGAATTGGGCAGCCTCCAGAACCAGAAGAGATTCAGAGAAAGAAGTCCATTCCTGAAGTATACAGCAATTACAGACAGAAAATGGAAGTGAGGAACAGAAACAGCATGATGAGTTACTGCTCCAAAAGTGCCTTGTTTGGGAATGGTCTGATCAGCTGGCAGCCTGTGATTGGCCAAACCTTAGTTGCTGTGACGAAGACTCAGCTCGATGATCCAAAAGGATACTTCTAAATTAAGCTTGCAGTTTGTATATGGACTAAATTATCAGCAGTTCTTTATGCAAGGATGCAATTATGGAGGTAGCCTCAGGCCAAATTAATTTAACAATATGTATTTCCTAAATTCCTAATTATAATCAAAAATCTCACATTTAATAACCATTTTTCTTCATAAATTATCATTAAAAACAGTTTTAACTTATTGTTTAGGTTTTTAGAAATGTCCACCCACCAGCCAGTGTTTCCCAATGCAATAGAAACAGAACTCAGAAGAAGGTTGCACTTGGATTCACTGAGAACAGCATCACTGTGTGCAGCTGGGGCAATCACCAGGAACTCACGCAGCCCGTACCTTAAAGAAATAAATGACTGCATTAAACAGAGGAATTAAAAAATCCATTATTTAAAAAACATGAAAAAATTTCCTTGCAGGAAATTTAACAAGTTAGGTTTAAACTACTGGTGTTTCTTTTTTTAAAGGACAATTGAACCTACAACAATCTGAATTTTCTTTAAGAAGCACTTCAATCATCCACCTACTAGCTCCCCTGTATTCTTTACAAATTAAAAGCAATTTACTGAAATCACAAAGAAAGACCATTAAATAATAGTTTTGCCTTAAAAGTCAAGTTTATAAGATAAAAGAAAAATGCAAATATTCAAATCTTGTTGCAATGAATGACAGCATTAAGTCTACCAATGTAGAAAGTAAAGTTTTTGTTTTGTTTTTTTGGGGGATTTTTTTTGGCTGGGCCAGGTTTGAACCCGCCACCTCAGGTATATGGGGCTGGTGCTTGAGCCACAGGCACCTCCCCAAAAGTAATGTTTGATAGATTCACTAAATTAAAGGGAAATTATTAGCTATGATGTGTATGTGCTGTCTCAAAGTGAAAACACAGTTTATCAATTATCTCAAGCATCTCAATTAAGGAATTCTTGTATTGAAAACTGAAAACACAGTTTATCAATTATCACAAGTATCTCAATTAAGGAATTCTTGTATTCAATAACATACATTAGATAGAAGTCACAAAATTACTATAAAACTGCTTAATCTTACTCTAATTACCTACATTTAATGAAAACGTCTTATTTAGTTGCCACATTCTTTATAGGTACAAATTTGCTGCCAAATTTTACAAAAATGTAAAGTCAAGTTAGTGATCTTGCCCACTGAAAATTCCTGTCCTATTTACTTCTCACTATATTTTTATTTTATTTCGTTAAAAGACTGGTCTAACTCTGTTGCCCAGGCTGGAGTATAGTGGCACAATCATAGCTCCCTGAAACTTTAAACTCCTAGACACAAGAGATCTTCCTGCCTCAGTCTCCCCAGTAAAAAGACTACAGGAAGCACCACCAAGTCTAGTCAATATAGACTTGTAGAGACAAGGTTCAATAAGTTGTCCAGGCTAATCCAAACTCCTGGCCTCAAGTGATCCTCCCGAGTCCACCTCTCAAAGATTACAGTCATGAGCCACCTTGCCTGGCCTATTTTTATCTAATATTTTTATAAATAAAGAATTTATGAAAAGCATTACTCATTTGCCTAATTAATTTCAATCATTACATATGTAAAGTTACCAATGCTTATTTTTATAAACTCTCCTCAAAAAATCACTCAAATAGCAGTAAAGATTAAAAAAAACTAATTCATGATCAGTTTATTGTTTTTTTTTTTGAGACAGAGTCTCACTTTGTCACCTTTGGTAGAATGCGGTGGTGTCACAGCTCACAGTAATCTCAAACTCTTGCCTCAGCCTCCCAAGTAACTGGGACTATAGGCACCCTCTACAATGCCCAGCTATTTTTATTTTTTGGTTGTAGTTGTCATTGTTGTTTGGCAGGCCCGGGCTGGATTCAAACCTGACAGCTCTGGTGTATGTGGCTGGTGCCCTGGCCGCTGAGCCACAGGCTCCAAGCCACTTTATTGTTTAGATAACAAAAACTTAACCTTATTTCCTCACCTCTCCACCCTCCTACCCCTAAAATCAAAATTAATTATGCAGAGTGGAATCAAATAATGGAAAGAATCCAGAGCTTTGAATTTTAAGCTCTGACATTTTCTTTTTTTAAAATGTCCTTGGAAGAAAGAGAACAAAATTAATGAACATTACCCCTTGCCATTCCCCACACTAGTGTGAAACAGTCAACAGTGTCCTGGTTATTCTTCCAGAAATGTTCCCTCTGTCCTTGTAACACCTTATTCCCAAATAACATTATACTATCTGTATATATTTTCTATACCTTCTTTTCAAAGGGCAGTCACCTGCTGATCAGTATTTTGTTTCTACTTTTGTGCTGCTGCGATAACACTGCAATTGTCTGTTTCTACAAGTATTATCTGTATAATAAATTCCTAGCAGTGTCAGATAAAAGAACATATACATTTTTAACACTGATAGCTGTTGCCAAACAACTACCATGCTGTCCATAACACACACACACACACACACATACACACACGGTGCCAGCATATATTCCCATTAATAACAAATAAGCCCAACTGAATTGCTTTCTATTTATCTCCAATATACTTTCTATCCCCTATATATTCGTTTCCTCTATATAGAATGTCTCCCTTTCTGCCCGTCTACTACCGTTCCAAATATCCAAAACCTAAAGATCCCCTTTTAAAAAGGATTTACCTCAAATACCACACCATCACGCATTAAATGTGTTCTCTTTTCTGAATTCCAAAATCTTTTAGCTACTATTATGATCTTTAAATGTCCCTATATGAGTAATTGATTTACTTTCCCTACCATGTCTGAGATAGCATCTTCAACAGTAAACAAATATGAAGGGGGGGCTTAAAAAAAAGAATCAAAAAACGCCAGATTTTTAAGTGGGAAAAGGATTTGATTCGACTTTAGAGAAGAGATACAAACAAATAGCTACACTAAAAAAAAAAAAAAAAAAAAGCAAAATTTTTAAGTGGGAAAAGGATTTGATTCGACTTTAGAGAAGAGATACAAACAAATAGCTACACTAAAAAAAAAAAAAAAAAAAAAAGCTCAACATCACTAAACCTAAGGGAATTGCAAATTAAATCCACTATGAATAAATACCACCTCACACTCATTAAGATTGCTATTATCAAAAAAAACCAACAAGAAGTGTTGGCAAGGATGTAGAGAAACTGGAACCCTTAGACCAGGGGTCCTCAAACTTTTTAAACAGGGGGGCCAGTTCACTGTCCCTCAGACTGTTGGAGGACTGCAGGCCGGACTGCAGGCCTCGGGACGAGTCAGACCAAGAAGGAATACTAACATAAACTATGTAGTTTGGGTGTAGACTCATCACTTATATATAACAAACATACTACTCTGGTGGGGGATGTTGAAGATGGCGAAGGCTGTGCATGTGTGGAGAAAGGGAATATATGAGACATCTCTGTACCTTTCACTCAGTTTTGCTGGGAACCTCTAAAACATAATCTATTTAAAAAACAAAACTCACATCATAAGGTCCAATTAAAATGGAAATAAATCATAAAGGAGATGATAATAAACCATATGAAACCCATCAAAAGAAATAAATACAGGTACGTACAATTCACATAAAGGTTTGTATAATCATTAGGCTTAGCATCAATCTGGGGGGCGGTTTATTTAAAAATTGAAACTAGAAGACCTCAAAATAGTTATAGACCAATAAATAAAATACCAAAATTGAGCACGTCACATAAATGGCAAAAACCTATCTCTGTTCATAAAGGTTTAAAAATAATGCTTGCTGAATAAAAGAAAATACATATCCTTTAATATGCTTTATTTTAAAACAATTCTTAGAAGTTCTGTTGTTGGCTTCCTGATCTTTAAGAAACATCAATGAAGAAAAAAACTGAAAGTGACTTCTAACCACATGGCAAACTGACTTGATACAGACCCTCCTTCCCCGAAAACACAGAAATATCTATGACAATGTTACAAAAATACTTAGTAGAATTTGAAAAACTACAAAGGAAATTCCAGGGTAACAGAAACAAGAGGGAACTGAAAGTGAGCATGCGAGGTGACTGAAGAATCCCAGGAGATTATCAGCTGTAGATACAGGCACTAACCACTAGGGACTGGGAGCTGATATTTTACAGGGTAAGTGCCTGCAAAACTATGCTGTGATGGACTGGGGAGGCTGAAAATGAAGAAAGAAAAGTACATTTTTATGAGAACACTGAGAACTCTGTGTATTTTATCCTAGCAGTCATAATGTGAATTATATAACTCTCAGATTGATGAGGTGTACCCAGTCCAGGGAAAGAAGTCTTTGGCACATATACAGGCTATGCTATATCCAAGAATGGCCCATCTTCATAATAAACATAAAAAAGCTAAGCTGGATACTACACTTTCAGAAGCACAGTATCACTCAAATATTATCCTTTACAATAGTGCCTTTGTTTATGAGGGACTGGGATCAGGAAGCTACAATCTTTTGGATGTTATCACCAATCTCTCTATAACCTAAACACACCAGTTTTCCTGTATATCCTTTAGATTTAGTCCACCAATCTCTCTCTTTTTTGAGACAGAGTCTCACTTTGTCACCCCCGGTAGAGTGCCATGGTGTCATAGCTCACAGCAACCTCAAACACTTGGGCTCAAGTAATTCTCTTGCCTCAGCTTCCCAAGTAGCTGGGACTACATGCACCAGCCACAACACCCAGCTATTTTTAGAGATGGGGTCTCTCACTGGCTCAGGCTGATTTCTCCAGACCTTAGGCAATCCACCTGCCTTAGCCTCCCAGCATGCTGGGATTACAGATGTGAGCCACTATGCCCTGCCTAGTTCATCAATCTCAAATGCCACAGAGGTTTTAATGTTCTATTGTTGAAAGGTGTCTCAGGAATACAGGTGTGCATGAAGAAAGGAATAAGAACTAAGACTTCTGGTAAAAGCCTGGACCTTAGAAGGGACTGTGACCTCAAGAAAATGAGAGCACCAGGCCCAGAAAGTTTCAATGGCAAATTTTATCAAACAATTAAAGAGGGCGGCACCTATGGCTCAAGGAGTAGGGTGCTGGCCCCATATACCAGAGGTGGTGGGTTCAAACCTGGCCCCGGCCAAAAATCGCAAAAAAAAAAAAAAACCAATTAAAGAAGACAACATCAATTTTACATAGTCTCTTCTGGAAAATGTGAGTCTTCCCAACTCACATCATAAGGCCAGATTACCCTGATACCAAAGTAAAAGAAAACTACAGGCCAATAGCCCTTATGAACATGGACACTAAAGTACATATCAAATACAGCTACACACACAAATACAAATTACATCACAAAGAAGTGGAGTTTATCTTGAGAATGCAAAGCTGGTTAGGTATCTGAAAATCAATCAATGTAATCACCA